CATACATGTAATAGAAAGGTGCCTCGAAATGATGATTGGGAGCGAAAGATGATGATGACAACAAAACATTAACTATGTTTTCATATCCCGGCCACCCATATTGGAAACTCAAGAGTATAAGTCGGACTGATGAAGAATTCAGTGCAACCCATTCGTACATATTGGTTATGAAGAAAAGATACAACCTTACCTTAGGTAATATTATTAACAACATTTAAGATATTTTCTTATTTATTCCCATAAGTTTAAACAATTCAAATTGTAATGTATAGGAAGTATAAAGAGTTGTTGAAATACCTATGTCCATATCAGTGGCGGACTTTAGTGGAGCCCGGGGAGTCCCGGACCACTGCTCCGATTCTGGCACTTAGTGTAAAAAAAAATTTAATGTTTTTTCTATTAGGTGCGCCGACTTAAAATACGAATGACACTAGTAATTTAGATTTATTTGGAAAAAAAATTTAGTGTCACCCCTACTAAAACGTTCTGCGTCCGCCACTGGTCCATTTATAAGTAAACATGATTGTTGTTGAAGTGGATGAAAACTTTGCAACATGGTTTGAAAACTATGTGAGTTTTTAAGTTGTGGTTTTCTTTTCTTTAGAGAAACTTCTAATGTATTTTATTCATTATCATATAGGCATGGTGAAATCATACAATCTATAATTTGTAAATAGTTACAAGTTTCACATGGAATCCCATGGTGCCAACAAATCAACAATGAATAGCGGAGAATGTATAAGTATCCCATTCGGGCAACAATGACACTAACAATAAAGCGAAGTGTTCATCTTTATTTTGAACATCCATATTCTCCAAGTTATTGACTAACACTTTGAATGTGTAAATATGTTCAACTAAGGGCCTCCTTCAATCATTTGAGATCGAACAACCATTGCTTTAAATGCAACTTGTTTGGTAGGCTCTTCGTCATCAACAATTGCTCCAATTTTAGCCATAAAGAAGCCGATGAAGTTTCTTTCAAAACATCTTACAAAGCATCGTTTGACAAGTGCAAAAGAATCAAGGATGGAGCCTTTAAATCTTTCATTTCTTTTTCTTCTCCGGTCCATGAAGCGGGCATCTTTTCGGAACCCAAAACTGCATTGTGTAAATCCATCTAAATTAGAATATTTTTCATCTTTACTTACCATAGAAGAAACATGGTGTTTCGATCCAACAATGGAATATTGTACTTCATCGTGGACATGATTTATCACTTGATAAACTAATTCCAATGAAATAACATTAAAACCCAAAAGCTCTGATACCAATTGTAGTAAACATGTGTGTGACACGCCCAAAGAATCCAAGCAATTTATAATAACATTAGTTCGATGCAAAATGGAAGTAATATATACCAAGCGTAATCAAGCACCGGGTATATCAAAGGCAGTAAATAAAAAAGACACAAGGATTTACGTGAAAACCCAAATCGGAAAAAACCACGTACATCAGAAACCGAGAAACAATCCACTATGTATATATGTATATGAATGAGACGGTAATTAAAGAAGAAAAACACATTTTCACCTAAGGCCAACCGGTATACTAAAAACGAGAGGGCTCGTGGTTGAGTTGGACCACGACCACGAACGTGCACACTATCCCGGCCGGTCATGGTCGATCGTGGTCTTGGTGGATCGTTCTCCGGACAACGAAACGAAACGCCCAATAGGGCTCAACATATTCTTTCACCATTTGACTAGCCGTTGAACGGTCAAATTTTTAAAAAAAATTGTTTTTTTTTAAATAAATATTTTTACATGCCATTTTCACCTATAAATACCCCATTCTAAGCCTTATTTCTTACACCATTCTTTTCTTACTCAGTACATAAAATTCCCACAACATTTTCACAAGCAAAACCATGGATCCCAACCAAAACACCTGTATAAACTATAGAAATCCCAACCCGATAACACTTTTGCGTTAGAGACAACCCATCGCCAATTCCCGACCATAGAATCACCTCAAGATGGTTTTTTCAATTTGCTTCAAACCAGTTCCACTATCCAATAAACAACGTTTTTCCAATAACAATATCAAACTTTCCCGTCCTTCCAACAACAACAACTTCAACAATATCAAGCTTTCCAACAATTCCAACCATAACCATCAAAATCCCCTCATTCGCCGGATTTTGTTTCGGAAACTCAACCTTCACCACCACCTCAACCTAAAAAGAAAAACGAAAAAAAACGGTCTAACCCAACACCACCCAAGAAAGATTCCCATGGACAAAAGAGGAAGAAGAAAAGCTAGCCGAGGTATGGATTTCGGCTTCCCAAGACCCAATCGAAGACGATAGTTAAACGTTTGCTTGATTTTGGGAGAAAGTTTGTGCGGTATTTTACGAGCTAACGGAAAGTGAAAGCCGAAATCCCGATCAAATTAGGTCGAAGTGGCGCGATATTTGACTAAAATGCACCGAATTTGGAGGAATTTACAACAACCTCCTAAACATACAAAAAAGCGGGGCAAATGATTTTGATGTCTTCAAGCCGCTTTGGACCAATTTGGAAAAATAACACCTAACACGCAAAGTTTTTTCGTATGTAAAACATTGACTAAAGTTGAAAGATGCTCCGAAATGGAAGGAGCAAACGGAAGGAAGTTCACAATCTTCCGGTTCAAAGCGTTCAAGAAACCCCAACGGAATGTCTCAACAATCGGACGGGCGAACACATTTTGACATCGATGATCCGCTCATTCTTAAAGACGAGCAACCCCTTCGTCGACCCGTTGGAAGAAATAAAGCAAAAAAAGTGGCTTCAACGGCTTCAGGATCTAGTGTTATGGATCAATTTGGAGAGAAATTTGATCGTTATGTGCACGTTGAAGAAACGAAGGCGGAGATGTTGAGTCGGGTAGAACAAAAAATGATAGAAACACAATCGGTGATTCAAACAAAAACCGATATAGAAATCTTGAAAATGAAAACGGACAACCTCGAAGGCGAAGATTTGGAGCTATTCCTCGCGATGAAAGAGTCCGTTCAAGGCTGACGTAGGAATAAAGGATAGTTGTTTTTAGTTAAGTTTGCTAATTTTAGGTTTTTTATTTTTAATGTTATTTTTATTTTATTTTTAATTAATGTAATTTTTATTTTTAATGTTATTTTTATTTTTCTATTTTAATTAATGTAATTTTTATTTTTATTTTAATTAATGTAATTTGGTATTTTAAATTAATGAAAAGTAATATTTTTTTTAAAAAAACTTATTTGATTTTTATGTATTTTTCATTTAAATTTAATTAAAAAGTAAGGTGGAGTAATGTGTTTAGGGAATGTTGTAATGATTTAACATCTACCACGGTTAGTGTGATTATAAAACATATAAAAGTATTATTGCGCCACTTTCTTTAATGCATTTGACATCCTATCTCTTCATTTCACATGCACAGACACGTTATTTCAATTGTGACAGTGACATTTACCAAACAATTTACAGTTTTGGTCCTTGAGATATGACGATTTTGCCAAATTTGGAGTCACATTTCCACAAAGTTTGTAACCAATAATACATCATTTAAAAATAATCACCAGACAATAGCAGATTCAAAGGGTTAGGTGGTGATAGGCATTGTAACATAAGAAGTACAAGTGGGATTTATTATTTATACCGACATGGATCCAGTCAACTCTTAATGATATTTTTTATGCCAAGAGCTATATAAATTGGGACGCAAGGGTGGATCTAATCATCTCAAAGCAAACTCAATTTTGTTTATGTTCACTAGACAGCCATACACAAGTTGAGTCATCAAGTAATTTCATAAAACAATGTCTTCTTCAGAATCAGGGGTTCAACTAGAAAAGTTTGTAATTCCACTGGAGGATATCATCTCTGTAACATCCCAAAATTTAAGGCCAAAAATTTCATTTAAATTAAGTTATTGCATAAAACCGATCAATATAAAAACTTTCATAATAATATCTAATGTCAAAACCAAATGGTCAATAATCAAAACATAGTATCATAAAACCATATCAGAGTGTAATCTCAAAGATCCCGTGTGCGGAAAACATAGTGTGATGCGCTATGATTAAGCCGGCTCCTTTCCTTTGAAACAAAGTACCTGAAATCAAAACTGTAAACTGTAAGCACGAAGCTTAGTGAGTCCCCCAATATACCACGCACAAATAATTAGCCACTCGAGGCTGTAGCTCCGTAAGACCTTCCGGTCACTGTGTCTCGGTGGGACCTTCCGGTCCTGGCCATGTTGACCTTCCGGTCCTAACTCCGTAGACCTTCCGGTCCTAACTTTGTTGACCTGGTCCTAACTCTGTAGACCTTCCGGTCCTAAATCTGTATACTCAGGATATAGCATATATATCACATAGACCAAAATGCATAATATCACATAGACAAATGCATAATACCACTTAAACAAATGCATAATATCACATAACTCATGTAAGCATATAAGACCTTCCGGTCACACATAATTACCACTCTAGGTAAAGTATAGTGAGAAGACTCACCCCACACTGCTGAAGTCCCGTAGACTCAACCCCAGCTGCTGGATGACAGATTCCCGAACTGTCAACACCAAAATAACACCCAATTAATAATTGGGTTCCACTACATAACCATAAGTACCTACTTTGGATAATTACTACATTACCCCAAGCTTGGCTTATTCAAGCCCAAGGCCCAATCCATAGGTCCAAAGTCGACTAGGAATCAAAGCCCAACATATGGCCCAGTTTTCTAAATTGGGCACAGGCCTATACATGCTCTTATTCTAAGGCCCAACATCATATAATCATTAAGGCCCAAACTATGGCCCATCTATGGCCCAATTTTCCAAATTGGGCCCAAACTCTCATATGGGTGAATCAGTTTAAATTAAAGAACGTAAAATGAAAATTGTGTGAATCAGTTTATAAATGAAGCACTAAAATGACAATGTTTACCATGTTTAATGCTATTGATAAACAAAATGGCATCATAACTTGAATCACTTTATAAATGAAGCACGTGAATCAGTAATTATGGCAAAAGATTGCTTTTTACCTTGAAGTTGTTGTCTGCATCATTTTCTGAAGTTTCTTCAACTACATTTCCAATAAACCCAGCAGGAGATATGCAATCTCTTTCAGGTCCAACAACATCATCATCCTCGCCATCTTTTGTTTTGTAATTATCGTCTGTTAATTAATATTTTGTACATTTTATTTGCTTGATAAGTAAAATAGTTTGAAAATGCTTGAATATACCTTGTTCAGTGCGGTTCATTTTCATGTTTTGTAATGATATGGTTACATTTCATACAGGGGTGCAAACGAGCCGAGCCGAGCCCGAGCCTGGCCAGGCTCGGCTCGGGCTCGTTTAAGTTCTAAGAGGCTCGAGCTCGAGCTCGGCTCGATTCGAGCTTCTTGTACTGAGCTCGGCTCGAGCTCGTAAATAATTATACAAGCTCGACTCGGGCTCGGGCTCGGCTCGTTTTTTGTCTGACTTGCCTAAATAAGCTTAAGCTCGGCTCGAGCTCGTGAAGAAGCTCGTTTACTAATACCCTAATTTCCTAATCCACAAATATGTTTTTATTTTAATATATAAAAAAATAAGAAATTATATTATATAAAGGCTCGTTTAGGCTCGCGAGCCTAATCGAGCTTAGTGACATAGGCTCGAGCTCGAGCTCGTTTAATAAACGAGCTTAATATTAAGCTCGAGCTCGGCTCGTGCTCGTCTAAAATCGATTTCGAGTCGAGCTTTTAGCGATCCGGTCCCGAGTAGCTCACGAGTAGCTTGGCTCGTTTGCACCCCTAATTTCAGAAACCTCCTTTAGATAGCTCTTCTACTTCCCTCCTTTTCAACATGTCTGTTGTCCAGTGAATCAGTCCAGCAGTTGGACTTTGAATTGTGCCATCCTCAACTTTTGTAAAATTAAGGTAAAACAACTGCAAAAAATATGTTGATGAAGAATATATAATATATATATAAGAATCTTCAATAATGTTTTGATAAATTTCAGGAAATTTGTTTACCAGAAGAAATACAATGGGACCGGTGTAAACGCACTTATCGTCCAAGGGTTTCCACATCATTCGGCTTGATTTCAAGCATGATACAACAAATCTGCACCAATCAAGTTGTTTGATATCCATATCACCCGAAATATTTTCCAAGAACGCTTGATTGACAGTCCCCATCGTTGAATACTCAATCATCACCGATACAAACAACACAAGAAAATTCATGATAAAAAATCGACCAGCATTTGTATCCTTTACTATCATGTCAATAACATGTGTTAGCTGTATTCTTTTTATTGTTTTTGGAAATTGGGATTTCCAAAGTTTGACAAGCTTATTTTCAGGATTTGCTTTGGAAGGGTCACCCATTGGTATGTCACCCATTGGAATCCCATATATCTCGTGCACTATTTCCCTTGTCACTAAAAGTCTTTGGTCCTGTACATGAATGGAATTGCTAGTAGGGTTGTAGTTGTCAACGACCCAGTAACATATCCTACGAGGTAGCTTTTCTAACTGCATATTTAGAGTTGATCCAAATCCGATAGATTGTACACATCTTCGTTGATCTTCGTTCAGCAAGGCCATGGTTTTGGTTATGTGTTCCGGAGGGAACCTGGTATTCAAAATCTTAATGAATCTTCCACGTTTCTTGTCTTTTCTATTCTGGTTTGCTTTTTCACAATCTTCTGTATCGGCATTGTAATAGGCGGCGGGTTTACAAAATCGTCATTATCATCACTTGGACGCTTTCGAGAATAAGTATCTGATGTAATCACTTTAGAAACAAATATATAAAAATAAATTAGTTAAACAATTATTAATGCAAATTAAAGGCAAAATATAATAAATTTGACGTGAATACCTAACTGAATATATGTTACAGTATTTTGAATCAGTTAGAGATCTATCAATACAACTTATACAACAGTAATACCAAAAACCTGTTTAACCGGATTCATTTGACAGATAACCATAGGTAACCAGAATCATTTCAACTAACATAAATACATAATCACTTTTCTACCTAGGTTTTATTACCCGGACTCTAAATTCACATCATATACAGTAATAAAAAACACTTGATTCACTTAAAAACTTAACCACTACTATCATTAAGAACAACTGTATATAACTTGCATAAATAATGTCAAGCACTGATGTCTTGTTCACAACACATGAATACTAATAAGATTATCAAATAGTACTTACCCATCGAGTCTGTGTGAGGTTGTGCTTCACCAGGATACTCCGTGAGTCAAAAAAATTCTAACACCAGCGCAAAACCCACAGGAAATTGTATCTGATTGCTGAATTTTGGTATGAAGCCTTCGACCATACAATCTTTATATAGCTTTAACAGCCATTCAATCTTTTTAAAACCATCATAACAGAAAAATCTGTAGTACAATATCTCCAATTTAATGGTATCCAATCTCCAATAATAAACCATCGATTCTTCTTTTTCGATTTGCAAATATGAATGATTTTTTTGGGCAAAAATTATGGTTGTGTATAACCGGATTCGTAGAGGAATATTGAAGATTGGTATAAACCCTTCGAGTAGAAATTCAATATCGTAGAGCATGATCTTCAATTTGATAGTTTTCATTGAAACTGTTGATTTTTCTTTATTAACCACCGATGCCGACTTCATTTTTGTGCGGAAATTAGGGCAAGGAAGACATAAAGACATGTGATAATTCACGTTGATATATATATATATATATATATATATATATATATATATATATATATATATATATATATATAAAAGTCTTCCTGCCTACCTAAAAAAAATTCACTTTATATATATATATATATATATATATATATATATATATATATATATATATTCTGGTTCATTTGATATCATGCTAATTTTTTGAGACCGTGAGACCAAATCTAAAAATAATTTCAAAATGCAAAATAAAAGAAAAACCCAAAAATTCTTTTTTTTATTTATTATTTTCGGTACTTTATTTACCAAAAAAAATAAAAAAAATAAAAAATAAATAAATAAATTACAGTTTTTTTTAAATACGTGAAATATTCTAATTTCTAAATATTATTAAAAGAGAACCTTAAATTCTAATCTTAAGAAATCAGGACCATTCATTACATTTCAATCCTTAATTTTTCACCATTGGATTATTTGCTGACATCATCTTTGACCAAGGGTTATTCAAACACCGTTACATGCTTCTCTCTTCTTTCCTTCGTCATCTCTCTCTCTCTCTCTCTCTCTCTCTCATAAAAGCCATTCTTTTTTACTTCAATCATGCAAGAAACACAAAACCCTAATTCGCATTTACCTCGCTTCTAGCAATACGGTTAGTTCATCTGATCCTTTTCAAGAACAATTTCATTGTTAGAATTCCTCATCCGATTTACCCTTTTTACTAATCTCTTCTTTCTTTCTTCTAGGAAATTTTTGATGATGCTGGCCAATTCGAGAGTGTCGAGTTATTTATACTTCTATGCAATGATGACTTTGCGATATCAGCAAGACACAGAACAAGATGATGGAGACACAGACACGACTTAATTTGATAATGAGAAAGAGGAATACAACGCAGAAGTATTTGAGGAACGATGTTGCTGGACTTTTTAAGAACGGGCTTGATTCCAATGCCTACAAAAGGGTAATTATTTCTTTAACTTTCTTATTCTTTCACGGTCTTTTTTCTGTTGTCTTTTTTTTAGGGGGGGGGGGGGGGGGGGGTTAAAAAGAACGATGAGTTAGGTGCTGTTTGTTTTTCTGAAGCCAAAATGTGTGCAGTATGCGGACCACATCTGCAAGCCTCTGCAGCAGAAGAGGTGGACCAAACGTCTACAGTCTGCAATAAGAAGATTGTTTGTTTTTATACGTCTGCAGGCTGTTAAAATAAAATAAAGTTTAAATAAACCGATTTTTTTGAACTTAAAAGAGTGTTTCAACATTAAAATTTAAATAATTTTATAATATTGAAATATAATTCTTACAACCAAAACTACATTTTTTTAAAAAATTTTACTACATCAAACTATCATGTTAAACCTCATATAAAATTTGTAAGCTAATGATGTTAAAGATAAAGTTTGTAAAGATAATGGTCTTAAAGAACATGGCCTTTTTCATTGCAAGAATGTTATCATTTTAAAACTTGACTATTATAAAAAAGTAAGACCCCTAACTTTATGTTAATTGTCAATCTAAATCTCAAACAAAAATCATTACAAAAGAATGATCAACAATCAGAAGGTGATTAAAATTGAAGTAAAATTACACTTTTGTTACAATTACATTGATTACAACTTTCAAAACACCAAAAATTGGGACTGTTTTACATGTAAACTAAACACAAAAGATGAATAGAAAAGAATCTTTGGTAGCATTTAGGAGTCTTGCATTCCTTCGGAGAGATCATTGACTCCTAGAAAAAAGATAACACCAAGTTAGATGTTCTTGATCGTATAACCAATGCAGCTTGCAACAGGTGCTTGAAATAACTAGAAATAAAAAGTCTAGCATCTTTGAAGACTTTAATCAAACAGTTGGCATGCTGTGATTATCAACTAATTTCTGCCCCATTTAGATCAATTCAACCATACATAATTTATCAAAATTGAGACCAAATATCATTCTAAGCAGCATAACAACAATCAAAACAATTTCAACAACCATATAACAATAAAAAATCTGATTTCATAGTACATTTACCCAACAAAATCTGATTTCACAAGCTATTTTTTTTTAAATCAGAAACACCTTTCTTTTGTTTTCAGTGCATTAGTGAGTTTTTCCAACAAGATTAATCCTCAATTTCATGTTTGAAGTGGAAAAAAAAAAGATTACAAACCTGTTGTTCGTCTGGTGGTCGTCGGGACGCCTGCGATCGGAGAGGAGGCGACGATCAGAGAAGAGGGTGGCGATCGGAGAGGAGGGTGACATTGGCTGGTGCTGATCGGAGGTGATCGATGGTGGACGAGCGGTGCTAGATCGAAGATGGAGCGAGGTGTCGACAGTGGGAAGTTTGGACGATGAAGGCGGAAAAAAAATGAAAGCGACTTTTTTTTTAGGTTAAAACACTTGGTAGACTTTAGAAGAGCTTGGCCAAGAGGTTGGCCCATGTTTGTGTGGTGAAGACCTCGAGCAGACCTTTTTATATCTGCGGACTTCAGAAAAACAAACGAACTGCAAACCTTTCTGTCTGCGCGTGGTCTGCGCCGCGCAGACAAAAGAGATCACGCAGATCTGCGGAGAAAAAATAAACACCTTCTTAGACTTAATTCAAGTTGTATACAAATCAGCACCATTGGACGCTCTCTTCATGTGTTATATATGGTTTGACTTTCGGTTGAAGTTGAATAGATTGATTGAATTCAAACCAGAAGAATGTTTGGCTGTTTGATTTGGAAGTTTTATATTTACGTAACTTGTGTTTTATAGTAGGCCTGATTGGATAAGAACAGTTTGGTATCCCTAACAAGTCGATTCATAAAGGCTTGATTGCGTCATACAAATGATGAATGCCACTTTGTTGTGATAAAAATCGAAATGTGAAGATTCTTTTCTGTAAAGGTTGAAATCTGTAAAGATTCTTTTCTTCCCTATATATAATCTCAAAAGGCTTTTATTTTAATAATAATTGTAAGCATTCAAGCTTTGAAGTTGGATAGATTGATCATTGATGCTTTATGGAGATGGGATTGTTTTTTTTAGGATTGTTCTTTTCTCTATATAATCTCAAAACACTTTTGTTGCTTTTCATTTGATGATAACAGGTTGGACAGTTACATGTTGTGTAACTGGACATAATCTGTCATCATGTTATAAATTATCTCTCAGCCATGGCTAAACAAAGGTAAAAGATTTACCTTTTTAGACCTTTAAAGTTTCATTTGATACTTTAATTTAAATCAGTTCTCAATCAACTGTAGGGAATGCCCTGAGGAATGCCACGAAGCTATCTCCACTTTGATGTTTTCTGCAACAAGCTTTCCTGATCTGCTAGAAATGCACGAACTAATGATTCTATATGTATCGAATGGTGTTTGGCAATCGGTGTAGCACCTATCAATCAGGTAGTTTGTCTAAACCAGATAAAGCAATCGATGGAATTTTTTGGATATGGGCAAAATGGTCTTTCTATTGTATCATAATTGTCTTCAAGAGGAATTACTCCAAAAGTCTTTTCACATTGCTTAAAGGGAGATGGATTGGGTGGTGGAAAGCTTGTTTTTGGTGAGATTTTGGCCCCGACTATGGTTTATAGTCCCCTTGTCCCATCACAGTATGTATTATTGAAGGGTATTTTAGGAAATATCAAATTTTGCTACTTTTATTTTTATTATACAATCAGAAACCACAATAGAAGTGTAATTGTTAATTTCTTATCTTGTAATCTTATATTATCTTGATCTTTCAGGCCTCATTACAATCTTGATCTACAAAGTATTTTGGTCAACGGTCAAATGTTGACCATTGACCCAGCTGCTTTCGCCACATCAGATAACCAAGGAACCATTGTTGATACAGGAACAACTTTGACATACCTTGTTGCTGAAGCTTTGGACCCTTTTGTCAATTCTGTAAGCTTTGACTA